ACCACTAGAATGAAGGGATGAGATTTCACACCATTATCACTCACCTTAGCCCTGAGTTATGCCACTTTACTATTTAATCTTTGGCCCATGTTTTTGTTCAAATTGTATCCAATATGGCCTTCCAAAAATACCCTTAGTTGTTTTTAATAATGTATTAGAGTAGATTACCACAAAGGCTAAAGGGAAAATAAGTAATTGGCAAAGCTCACACATGTGGAGATATTTTTCTTTATCAAAGCCAATCACTTTGTAGATCTAAAATTTCAAACCAGTCAATTTAAAGATAATGTCCCCTTCACATATGTGTGTGAAGACATTTTTCAACTCAAATTTGTAAATGCATTTTGTCTTTAATATCAAATAAATAAATTAATTAAAACTTCACACATGCCATGCATAGCCCATGTGTGAGTTAATTAAGACATGTGATAAAAAGGGGACCTTAATTTATAACATTATATAACAATATATAACAAGACACCATAACACCACCCCTTATAAAATAAATAAGCGATCAAATACCAATCTAGTGCTCAGCTGGGCAGTGATCCTAGGGTGAGGTGTGGGGTGCCATGTAGCAGCCTTATAGCCACTCGGAACGCCGCATGGCACTACCAGGTCAGGACTAAAGTAAAATTTGTGCCAAACAATATGAAAACTCTTATTTTTTTAGCAAATAAAATTTCGAAAAATTCTCTAAAATTCACAATAAATATTTAAAGTGTTTTTGAGCAATTATTAGGCTTTTCTCATCATTATAAAATCGGATAAAATGTATAGTGAGATCTTAGGCTAATAACTATAGGTAAGAGTACTCCATTGGGCTAGCCCCGAATGATGTTCTGAGGAGTCTCAGATCATCCTAATAGACCTATGTTCCACAGTCTAAAGAAGGGAACCATAATTGGCCATATCAAAGCTGTTGAGCCAGAACTTCCGATCATTCTGCTCTCAATGGATTACAGGTGTACCCCTATGAGACATGATCCAACTCAATTACAAGGGTCTTCTCGAAGCACATATGCACTGGCACTTCCAAACTTGGATAATGCATTTGGAAGAGTGGCTTCCCATACGAAATGAAAATGCATATGTCATGCAATGGTCTCATGTCAGGATACAGACTTATGTCCCATAAGTCTTGACCATTCCATACAAGGTGAATACTCAATAAGTGCTAGGGTTCTATTTTTCTCATTTGGATTCTTCAAGCCCTGGCTGATTGTAGCTAAACATGAGGGTAACTTATAAAATCCTGACTAGGAGGTGACCCTCACACCTCCTTGAGAAATTGTTTTCTCAACTCGTGAACTCTCGATGCCTCATATGTACTCGGGGCAAAAAAATCTGGGTTCCATTTCGCAAGACACAAAGATTTCAATATCTCAAGCACTCCCACTGAATGAGAGACTACTGGAATTTAGGCCTTGATAGGCCATATTTCCAACAATTGCAAGACCAGGAACACGTTCCTATTTTCTTGGAAATATGATCCTCCTCTTGGTGGGAGCTCTCTTCATTGATGTTGTAAAGGAAAAGCCTCATTTCTTCTTTGGAGGAAGAACATTATCATTCTAGACCAAATTTGAAAGAGAACTTGAGCATCAAATTCCTTCTTCGTCCAAGTCCATTATGTTCCATTGAAGCAATGCATCGTGTGAGTAATTCAATACCCTTGTCACAACTGATGTTTGCGAAGCCATGTCATTTGGAGTCCTCTCTTTGAGGGGTATGCTAGTGACATGATATATTATTAGCATATTAAAAATCTAGAAAGGCTTTTGAAAAATCAAAGGACGAAAACTACCTAATTTTTTTCTATGGAGTTTGGCGTGTATCTAGATATAATTCTATACATTTGTATGTAACTTTCAAATGATCCTTTCAACCTTGACCTATATCCTTATATTTATTTATTTTATGAGCCTGCCATTGTGCTCTGAGACTAGGAGAATCTATCAAGTGCTGATCCGCCACTCCCACTCCTAGTGACTTTGGGACAATCATTGCCATGTATGTTAGCCAGCTTGAAGCCATTTGGGCATATCATACTCATCCTCCTTAAATGTTGCAGAAAACTGCCTTGGTTTTTGTTAAGCCTTGTGCACAGTGAAACCATCGCATTGTCCGCCCTGTTTGTCATAGTGACAGGCTGAAGGATCAATGGACAAAGGGAGATAGTTAAACTGAACGCTAGAAATGATGCAATAAGTGCATAATTTTCTAATAGCATACCTCAAAAGAATAATATTGAGCAAACCCAAATCTATAGACATGGCTAATAGCACCCTATTATGTGATTAGCGGTGAAACTTTCTTGGAGGAAGCAATTTTAGGGCTACATAGATGGCTTCTAGGCCCACCATCCACTGGGCAAAATGCTGTTCAAAAGGATGTTGGAATGGCGGGCAACCAACTAGCTCATGGCTTAACGAGTATTAAAGAACCCCACTGAGAATGTAGTTACAAGAACACCAGAATGGAGAGCAATCAACAATTCGTGAAAGAAGGAAATGAATCAATAAATAACTACATGCATTTGTATGATTTAAATATTTAATAATGTAAAGGAGGTCTAAAGATAAGAGTATTAAAACATTTAATACCCTTGTGCATCGGAAAAACCCAAAAAGCGTTTTTGGAATCACATTAAATTCTATGGAAGTTTGGCGAGTGGAAAGGAAGATTCCTCGCTTCTGTGGGTAGAATCATGCCTATAAAATCTACCCTTTCAAATGTTCCCATATTTCATGTCCCTCTTTCCAATGCCTTCCGCAATAGCGCCTAGCCTAGAGTAGCTCATGAGAACTTCTTATGGTCAGGAGAGAGGGGGAGCAAAAAGTTCCACCTCATTTATTGAGACAGAGTATGTCAATATCCAAGCCTCAAGTTGAACAAGCTCACCCTACTTGGCAAGTGGTGGTGGCGATTGGCCACCCTGGACAGCCATTTGTTGCAAGCTATCATTCAACACAAATATCAAAGCTATCATTCCAGCAGGATCTTGAGGTTCCCAACACCCAGCAGGTCATCTGGTGTGTGGAAATACATATCCCGTAGCTACAGGGCTTTCACAACCAATATCCACTTCCACCCCAGAGAAGGCACAAGGGTCAAATTTTGGCCAGACTGTTGGATAGGGGATACGCCCTTAAAGGAGCTACCCAAGGTTATACTTCTTGTCTCGGAACCCTCAGGCATCAGTGGCTGAACAGATGGAGGCCACGAGTTCCACAAGAAGCGAGAACCCTAATTTTAGGACGCAACTCATAGAGGGATGATTTCCTGGCATTATCCACCCTTCTCCAGTCAGCCTCTCTTTTCTCCCATGGAGGAGACCAGATCATCTAGTCACCCGACTCCTCGGGCCTATTCTCTGTTTCTTTTTTCTACTAGCCACCAAACCCGCCTTCACCTCTCCACTCTAGTTACCCCAAAGCTTTGCTCTCTTTAACACCCCCCTACCCACCCAAAAAAATCCAAGTCCTCTTGGATACCTTGCTGAGAGGGTGCTGCCCATAGACTAGCTTCAAAGAAGAGGGCTCTCGTTTCCCAATAGATGTGTAATGTGCTTGGCAGTGGAAGAAACAAATGAGCATCTCTTTCTCCACTTCGAGGTTGCACACACCCTATTGAGAGCCCGCCTCCATCGAGCTTCCTTATGGAGAACGCCCTAACCAAGGAGGGCAACCCAAACTCAACTAGCTCCTTAGGTAACCTAGCCTAGGCCCTGCTAGCATCGATTGTATCTTCAGAGACCATACCAATCACACTCTTATCTTTCTCCCTACCCATTGGACTAGCCAATTTTGCTACGACTGAAGCCTTCGCTCTCCTTGAATGACTCGAGAAGTTCAACCCAGCTTGGAGCCTAGTTTTTGGTCATTGAAGCGGACTCCAACAATGTCATTTCATGGCATCATGACTCCCTAATGGAGGTTGCTCCACTTTTTTTGACAAAATTCTTCATATTTGTAGGGATATGCATGTCTCATGGAAGCATATTTGGAACAAAACAAACTCAAAAACAGACCACCTTGCTAAAGGAGCCTTTTTTAATTGCACTATGAGAACCATCACAACATCTCAATGAACTCAATCCCCATGTGTCCTTTACCTTTTTGTATCTCTTCTTCGTAAGTATGTTGTAGTAGCATTTCTGGAGCACACACACCACAACCGCATGCCCCCCCTTCCCCCTCCCTGCCTCTTTTGGTGATTGTGGGTTTGTCTGGGCCTCTTTTGTTTTTGTATGGCACCCCCTTGCTTTGGGATGCTATTTTTGTACTCTATCTTATACAAGGTTAATAATGGTTTCCCTTAAAAAACAAGAAAAAAGATATGAAGAGATTAACTTGAGGTAAATTTTTAACTCGATGATTCCGGGAGTAGTTAAAAGAATGAGCAAACACAATGGACTCAAGTCCAAGTGTAAGAAATAAGAAAGGAGGGTTGCTGCTTGAGCAGTTGATTGTTTGATTATGGAGAACCATAATGTGCATACACTCCGCTGTATCCTAGGACATGGTGCTCTGATATCATGTAAGTAGATACTTGATTGACAATTCACACAATACCTGCAAACAGGAGTTGAATGCCTCAACTACAAAATGTAGTGGCTGTGCATGCCTAAAACACATCTACAGCACATGATTGAAGGATATGTCCATCATACAAAAGCAAAAAGTACTACATCGTAGGAGCATATACGACATAAACTCCCACTTCAACTGCGAGGCACTCACTGATCACTTTAAAGACAAAGTGGCTTGAGTCTTGAGTGGAGCAGAAAACTTCTTTTTGTGATTGGTGAAGAGCTCAAACCATCTAAACAGGGATTGTTTTTGCCAGGAAAAAGTTTACTACTACGTGTAATATCCGTTTCCATAGAAGTTTGTGAGAACTATTGTCTCAATGATTAGCTCAAAGTTCATCCCAGAAGCCAGCCAATGAAGGGCGATAAATACATATTAATTGTCCTATTGCAAACATGACTGCTTTATAAACATGATAAGAACACTTGGTCGAAGCAACAAATTTAGTGATCATGTTTCACTTTGAAATCCATCCATGACATCAAAGTACAAATCACATTTAATGAGAGATCAACATTCACAGGAAATACTGTCTACCAAAATTCATATAACTGAAGCACTATAAACAAACTTAAGGATACACATTATTTAATCTACATGAAAATTCTTCACTCAAATAAAGATGAGGCTCTGCATCCCCCACTTCAAAATGTTAATCCATACATTTGAAGCCACTCAATCATCTCTCGAGTGATGTACATGTTCCAAACCTCATTTCTTCTCCAAGTGCCTTGCTCTCGAACTCCTCATAGCTTCCCAAATATGTGGGTAACTTAATGGTTCTCCACCAACTATTTTTACATTTGAGGACCTGGAATAGTTTGAAATGTTATCTGGAACAGCAGGAGGCTCACAAGGAAAGTTCAACTTTTCAAGTATCAGCTTTTCTTGCTTGGCATCTATTTATTGTCAAGCATGCACATTGTCACAAAAGAAGAATCAAGAACAAAATTTCATCGTGCTTCCAAACCTTAAATATATTTCCATTAAAGTAAAATGATATAAGTGACTTTGGCCAAATCAGTAATAAAAGACTGTTGTTTTGGATACATTCCTGATCAGGATTTTCAGTAAAACTGGAATGTAAAGCGTTTCCAACATTGTCTATAATGGCAGATGTTGTCATGGATGACTCAATGCATATGATGGCAGATATTGCATCTAGTCGAGCGACCTCCTTTCTGAACATTAGCCTTGCATGTGCTACAGTAAGAGAAACAGTAAAACCCTCAAATTAAGAAAAGAAGAGCAAATTAAATAATAACATTCAGAACACAAAGCATTCTAATATCAATAAGATGAGTATGGCATACCTTGTGCTAATCTTATCAAACTTTCAAGCATGCGTATTGTAGTTCTTGCTGCAAGATAAGGGAGACTCAATAAATGTCCATAATACAAAGGAAAGGGACATCACATTACACACCTGCATTTTGTGTTGCAGATCTCCGTTGAAGTTGATAATAACTTGAAATAACTTCTTCTGCATCCCTTGTTAGGATAGGCTTGAAAGAGCCTTTAACATAGTAAATGTACCTGAACTAAAAAGATAATCATATAATTTGCAGAGATATAGTTATTCATCCCATTAAGGAGTATAATTGTAAACATGGTGCAGTTAGGTACACTCAATTGAAGGATCAAATGAATCATATACTTTCTGAAAAATATTCTATACTTGGTTTGAGTATACTCAGGCCCAACATCTACAGTCCAGGTCTCTCCACACGGTGGGTGATTAGCTTCTGCTGCTTTTATAGCTGACCTGTTTTTTAGTGGACGATCTAGTCAACTCCACTGCCCAGCGATGAGCACAGAAATTCGATGTTGGGCAGTGCTATACTCCCAGAAACTATACAGTATAGGGAGCCCACAGTCCTAGGTAGCCCATTAGGCCATATGAAGCTCAGGAGGCATAGAAAATGTCATTAGAATGAAATCCATAAATTCAACAGATGTACCCACAAAACAGTCAAGCAGGTACAACTAACAATAGTATGACGAGGAATAAAACAATAATTCCATAACTTAAAAAGAGCAAAGTTGGATAGGTGATCGGAGACCAGCAGTCGAGCATTGCTACCTGTAACTTGAAGATAACCTAATATTTCAATAGAAATGCATATTTATGTAACATGCAATGGACCTATTAAGAACATGGATGGCAAATTATATACTTGGCATGATTCTTTTAATGGATAATTTAGTTCCTACCAAGACAAATTGAAAAGATCAAAGCTTTAAGAATTCGGATGGCAGATGGAAGAGCAAGAAGAACACAATTCTTTAATAGTGTAAAACCATAAAGCTTTAAGAGTTCACTTAGTGAACTAGAACTTATTTTTACAGGTATATAGTGTAAAACCTTAAAGTAAGTTGAGTCTAGGTGACGCAGTATAAAATTTACCGGCAAACAACACCAGCAAAATTAACCTCATTTAAGAGAGAGAAATAAAAATCGTGAAGGAAATCACAAGAATAAAGAACAAAACGCACGGATACTAGTATTCCTGCCCGGGCCCATAAGCAAAGGAGAAGAAAAAACACCCACAAAGGGCTCTCTCTCTCTCTCTCTCACTGTACACGATCTCAAAGATCACTTTTTTTCATTCCTAAAATTCATTCTTTGTTTACAATGTACGATCCACGTTTCATAAACCTATTGCATTTCTTCAATCCGTCTCAATTATTTTCCTTCCCATGAGATACATTCAAGTCCATGTGCCTATCTTGTGGATAGGCACCACCTCTTCAAGTTTAAAATATGGTAAGTATCCTTATAAAAAAACAACTAAAGTTAATAACGATCCATAAAAGACGAATACACTTCCTATCTCAGCTAGAGATAATAATTATCCATAGGAAACGACTTTCTAAAAAGAAACTAACTCTTTCAAAAAAGATTTACTCTACTTTCCTAAATAAATCCCCATCTAAAAAATACGCACATTTTCCTAAGTTATCTCATTAGGAAAACGGACCTTATCTCCTAATATAGAAAACATAAACTTCTGAAAACACTCATACCAAAATACAGGGATCTATCATTCTATACTTTCTTGAAATAAAAACTTTATCAAAAAAACCCAAAAAATCCTATTTTTAATAATTAACCCTAATAAATAAAAATAAAAAGTCTACCCAACCTCTAAAAATAAAATTAACAAATATAAAATAAAATTAACAAAAATAAAATTAAAACTTTGTAGCATGCAAATTTTGATCTGCATCATTCTCCCTTGGTTGGAGAAAATTTGACGTCGAGTTTTAAAATGTGCTAAGATCAACTTTGTATTAGTGTCGCAACTTTCTTCAACTTGAATTTTGGAAACACGATCCTGCGGCCGGTGGATTACTGCACTGATCAAAGCATGCACTGAAGGCGATAAACCCTCAAGGAAAAGGTTGTCGTATGTCGATTTTTCAACGACATGCGCTTTCTGAAATTGCTCAAATTTCACCTTCACCTTGGGACACACCACGAATGCATCGGTTTCTTCATCATACATCTCTATATGCTCGATCTCGAATACATTGGTTTCTTCGTCATACATCTCCGTAGGCTCGATCTCCTCTGGGAACAAGTTAATATGTTGATTCTCTACCTCTCCAATGATAAGAAAATTAGATATCCTTGCTGCCTCAAGGATAACTTTTTTCCTTTCATCTTGTTCTTTATAAAAAAAGAGGAACTTCATCAAAGATGGGGTAACCTGTGACATTCAAGAATGATGATTGCAATAAAAGATCCAAAACTACACGTTCTTCATCTTCAACTGGTTCTTCATCAAACTTAAGTAGATCAATTTCCCTACAATGAGGAAATAGATCATTCTCCCGACCAGGAGGCTCCCGACACAGAGGGTTGCCACAGAACGGGCTCTCGAAAATAGCATCCAACTCACTGCCGTCATCATAGTGTATCGAAGCTAGTTTTTACGCCAAGCGCAGGGTCAACTCTTCTACTTGCATTCTCAAACTTTTGTTCTCCATCTCTCGGAAAGCTCGGAGGTTTTATTCGTATTGAATGGGTTGAGTCCTGATGCCTGGCCATAGACCTTGTCCACGAACACCATGATCCACAAAAATCGACTACACTCTAATACCACTTGATTCCGTGTAAAATTTGCTAGCAAACAACACCAGCAAAATTAATCGCGTTTAAGAGAGAGAAATAAAAATCGTGAAGGAAATCACAAGAAGAAAGAATAAAACGCACGAATATGACTATTCCGGCACAGACCCATAAGCAAAGAGAAGAAAAAACACCCACAAAGGGCTCTCTCTCTCTCTCACTCTACACGATCTCAAAGATGATTTTTTTTCATTCCTAAAATTCATTCTTTGTTTACAATGGACATTCCACCTTTTATAAACCTATCGCCTTTCTTCAATCTATCTCAGTTATTTTCCTTCCCATGAGATACATTCAAGTCCACGTGCCTATCCACAAGATAGGCACCACCTCTTCAAGTTTACAATATGGTATCTATCCTTATAAAAAACCAACTAAAGATAATAACGGTTCATAGAAGACGAACGCACTTCCTATCTCAACTAAAGATAATAAAACCAACATGGACTTTTCTTATTATTATTCCTACTTCTATATATCCAAACCATAAGGATTGTTTCTAGCCATGAGTTCCCATATGACGTAAGCGCTCTTGGGTGGGGTGGGCCATCACATAGGAAATGACTTTCTAAAAAAAAAACTTAACTCTTTCTAAAAAGATTTACTCTACTTCCTAAATTAATCCCCATCTAGGAAATACGTACATCGTCCTAAATTATCTCATTAGGAAAGCGGACCTTATCTCCTAATATAGAAAACATAAACTTTCCTAAAACACTCTTACCAAAATAAAAGGATCTATCATTCTACTTTAAAGAAAAAGATACTTTCTTGAAATAAAGACTTTATAAACAAAACCCAAAACATCCTATTTTTAACAATTAACCCTAATAAATAAAAATAAAAATTCTACCCAACCTCTAAATATAAAATTAACAAAAATAAAATTAAAAATTTGTAGCATGAAAATTTTGATCTGCATCACTAGGACATTGTAGACTGTCAACATGTATATTACCGAGTCTCTTAGAAGACGTCTGATACTTTCAATATATAGAAAAGATCAAAAAACATGTATACTATTTGAGCAAAGTTATTTGTAGTAGTCCTAGTCTTTTGCTAGTCTTGAGATATAGGATAATGCTTTTTGGATGCATTCAAAGAGAATGTAAAGCATCCATGAAGTTATCCCAAATGGTCCATCAAAAGTAAAGTGTCTCCATTAGACTTCACAAAGAAGAACGAGAATTTGTTGGACTACAATAATTTGGAGAAGCAGCACTCTCTGCATCTGCACAGAATCAAGGACCAAAGGCTATCGGTGTAAAAAACGACTGCTGATTCGTTTTGACTGGGTTGGTGGAAATTGAAACTGAACTAGACCTCTGCTTCATGTTCCTAATATGTAGATAGGTACACATAGTACCAGAGCAAGGTGATGCTCATGAGGTTCTGAATGAACTGAGTCACTTCATAAGGAGAATGTCCTAAATTTTAGCAGTTGACACTGAGATATGCCAATTTACCCCCAACTGACATTACACCATTGCATCTTAAAAAGAGTTGACCTCATGTGTTGAGTCCAACACTAACTTGCAGGAAAGGCCAGCAATAGTTAGTTTTGATCAAGCTTCTTCAGCCTGATGATGTTATCTAATAAATTTTTGGAGAATTCTAGAAATTTCCATAATTGGCATTGAACGGGCAAGAATACACTAGGTACAGACAGAGTAGCATGGAATCACGGTTTTTCAATCCAATAATAATGGATCAGAAACAAACCATTTATATGTTGAAAAATCTCTTCGAAGGAAACAAGGAAAACAAGATACGCTTGAAAAAGTAAGTAACCTACTTAGTATTTACATGATCCAAGAGAAACCTAAAGCAAATTGCTTATGAGAACTAACAGCGGATGCCATTAGAAATTGTCATGTGACATTCCTATCATTTTATATTAGTCCAAGGGCATTATAGATGTGCAGTCTTGTTAAGGGCCCTATTGTAACAGTGATAGCCTCCTTAAAATCTGTATCAGTTTCCTGTATTCTTCCATTTATGTGTGATTTTTTAATACATTTTTAGCTGGTCTAACATGTCAAACGACGGGACCAAACACCATGACACAATCCAAACTACCCTTTTCAATATCCACTGCAAACATTAAAAATCAATAAGTTTGTGACTAAAACAGTTTTCGCCTTTTTTCTTTTCTTTTTTTTTGATGAGTAACTACAAAGGTATTTTATTATCCATAAAAATGTCAAATATATTGATTTTCCCTTCCTCCATGTGAAATCAGAATTACCTTCTAAGCATAAGCAGTGACCACAGACTGGTCAAGTCCTCGTCAAACTTTGGCTTCTCCGAGTCCTCATGCTGATTACAAAATGAATCAACAAAATGCATCATAAAATTCAAAATGATCATTTCCAGAAGAAATGGAATGCAATAAAGCATTTACCTCAGATAGAATGTGAGATGAAACAATTGCATCCCATTCAGGGTTCTTTGTATCCAGTAGCACCAAAACAATGTCAAAGCGGCTCAATAATGGCCCAGAAAGTGTAGTATTTACAGACAAAGCTAAATCAAGGTCAAGGGTAAGATGTAGGTAAAAAGCAATTTACAAACAAATATGTAAGAAGATGGTCATATGCAAAGGGAGAGAATAATTAAGTTTCCTCCAAGTGAAACTAACTGTTTGAACAATAATGAACTTAGATTTGTTAGGGTTCTTTCCCCTTGATCGAGTAATTTCTTAAATTGGATACTTTGATTAGGATCATATTGACCCTTGGGGTTTGTCACTCCAAACACAGTTGTCCTTGTACTCAGTGTTGTGACCAGACCAGCCTGAAAAGCATATGCGACATTAGCTAGAAGACAAGAGTTCAATAAAAAGAAACATGCCCCTTTCTGGAAAAGGAAGAAGACTGACGACTAAAAAACAATTGAAATTGACCAGCATTTAAACCTACATACAATAGTATATTCAACAATATGGATCAAATGGAGGGCTGAGAACAGCAATCATCTGAAGTATTGAAGGAAATGAGGATGCAACTAAAGGATATCCTCACGTACTTATTAAGGAAAACAACTATTACCAATGTGTCAAGGAATAGTAGAATATCATAGTACAAGATGCTAAAAATCCCAATTTTAAATAAAAGAAGTATAGAAATAAAAAAATTAGAATAGAATAGATGGAATACATAAGATTATTTAAAATATGGATATCAGATTTTCATAATAGTTGCAATAAAATCTTAGTCTAAATTATCCTCATGACAAGTATATATGCAAGGTCAAATGTCAGAATACTACTGAAATCATAAATGAGAAAGCGACACTTGATTTTATTTATATACAAATATACATGTCTCTCAGCAATGACATATATACGACAAGACAGGACACATACATCACAAGATTCGCCTAAACTTCCTCAAATCAACACCCAAAAGATGCAAATCAACAACCAAGCATCAACCAATGCATAAATCTAAGAACTTCCACAAATTAAATTTCTGCCCAAAAGTTCTTTTTATTCAATCGATCCAATAAAAACCACGGATGTGGCTGAAAAATATTGTTTGGGGGGATTTAATTCCCCTCAAACCCTCTCCGACCATTTTCGAAGGTCAAAGTAACCTTATTACCCCTACCTGAGGGGGTACAATTTAGAAAAAAATGGTGGAAGATTATGCGGCTTGATGTGGGATGTGGCTTTGATGTGGAGAGATACGGCGCATATGCGGGCGCTCTCTCCAAACTGCATGTGTGGGGATTTTCGATGCATTGCCCAGTGCATAGCACCTAATACGGCCACATATGCGGCGATGTGGCCTCATTTTAAAACACTGGGCTTCACAACTATTGTATTTACCTCTTGAGAGAATACATATCATGTTGATTTGAGTTTTATTTGAGACTTGGACTTTGCAATACTACATTGACCTTTGTGAAGTAGCTTTAAACCTTGGTAGTGCTGTTTAGACCTTGGTTTAGTTTTCAACCAGTGGTGCACGTTTTTTGTGGTTATGCTTATTGACCAAGATTATGCAATGTTGACCTTGGTTATATTGCTTTAACTGCATTAATTTGTACTGAGCAAAACAAGAGGTTTTTCAAGTTTTTAGGACCCAAAAACCAATTCTTTTGTGCCCTTTTCACTACATTGTGGACTTGTGCTTATTTAATTGAGTAATTTGAATTTATTGTCTAGATCATGGAGTAGCTTAAGAAGGGTGAGGACCTTAAACTTTCCCTTAACCTGTCCCATACCCGGTTTTAGGGGTTGGGTTGTGTTAAGTAGGCAGCCAACGTAAAACTTTACCAATGCTTAAATCCTAAACCTACAATATGTGCTAATGCAAAGGCATTCCCTAAAAGCGACGTGTTGTACCAGTACGCGGGTACAGTGAGAAATGAGCAAGGGTTAGCTAGGGCGTTCCCCTGAAGCGACGCGTTGCAGCGCCGCCCGGTGATGATGAAAAATAAGCAAGGGTTCTCACGCCATCGCAGGCAAAGAAGCCAGTCAAAGAGAATAGGCTTCATCTAGCCACATGTAATGTAGGAATGCTTATAGATAAAAGTATAGAGTTGGTGGATACAATGAGACAAAGGAGAGTAAACATCGCCTGTTTACAAGAAATTAAATGGAAAGGAAAAAAAAGCTAAAGAAGTAGATGGTTATGAACTTAGGTATATAGGAAATGGTAATAATAGAAATGGCGTAGGCAAAATAGTAGACAAAGATTTAAAAGATAAAATAATTAATGTTAAGAGAATAGGTGATAAGCTCCTATTAATTAAACTTGTATTAGGGGAAGAGATAATTAACATAATTAATGCTTATGCATCCAAGTAGGATTAGAGTGTAGTATTATTAAAAGACAATTTTGGGTGGACATGGATGGAATAGTTCAAGACATACCAAATGGAGAGAAGACCTTTTTAAGTGGGGACTTAAATGGTCATGTAGGGAAGGATAGTAGAGGATATGAAAGGGTAAATGGGGGATATGGATTTGGGGAAAGAAATAAGATGGGTGAGACTATTCTAGATTTTGCTATGGCTACAACCTAGCAATAGCAAACGCTTGAAAAAGTGAGATGAACGTTTAATGACATACACAATTATAAAAGTAGATCACATAAAAGCTAGATAGACTTCTTCTTAGTTAAGAAGGTAGAACAACCATCATGCAAAGATTGCAAGGTTATCTCAAGAGGGAGTTTGACTACCCAACATAGGCTTATGGTTATGAATGTCTGCATAAATACATGGAAGAGAAGGGGTGAAATTAATAGGCATCCAAGAACTAGATGGTGGAATTTAAAGAATGAAAAAATAGACTTTTTTTAGGGATAAATTGGTTAAAGAGAAAAATAGAACTTTGAGGATAAGGTCAATGTTATGTGGAATGAGATAACTGACTGTATTATGAAAGTGGCAAAAGAAGTTTTAGGGGAATCTAGAAGAAAAAGAAATTCCGATAAAGAAACTTGGTCGTGGAGTGTTGAGGTTCAGAAGGCCATTAGTGACAAATAATCATGTTATAAAACTTGGTTGTGTAATAAAAATGATCAAAACTTAGAAGAATATAAAAATACTAAAAAAAAAGGCTAAACAAATAATAAGACTAAACATAAGGCATATGATAATCTATACAGTAAACTGGGATCAAGAACAGGTAAAAAGTTATCTTCAAATTAGCAAAAATGAGAGAAGGAAAGTGTCGGGATCTTAACCATATTAAATGCATTAAGAGTGAGGATCAAAAGGTCTTGGTGAAGGATGAAGAGCTCAACGAAAGGTGGAGAGTTTGTTTTAAAAAATTATTAAATGATGAACACAATGGGCACATAGTGGTGGAATGAACCGTTGGCATAAATGAGGGCGAAAGTCATAGAGACAATCATAGGATTTAGATATCGGAAGTAAAAGAAGCTTTGGAAAGGATGAAGATAAGAAAAGCTTTAGAACCATATGGTATCCCTATAGAAGGTTGTAAGTGTATGGAGGAGATTGGCGTTGACTGACTGACCAAGTTGTTCAATAAGGTGTTGAGAACAAAGAAATGTCAGATGAATGCACAAAAAATACTGTGGTACCTAATTACAAGAACAAAAAAGACATACAAACTTGTGCGAACTATCGAGGGATCAAACTTTTGAGCCATACTATGAATCTTTAGGACAGAGTGATTGAGCAATGACTAAGGCATGAAATATTAAAAAATCAATTCAATTTTATACCAGAGAGGTCGACAACCGAGGTTATTTTCCTACTTTGGCAACTGATTGAGAAGTTTAAGGCAAAAGGAAAAGACCTCCGCATAGTCTTTATTGATCTTGAGAAAGATTATGATAGAGTACCTCGAGATTTGGTTTAGTGGGTGTTGAAAAAGAAAGGAGTTTTCAGACACTGCATCGACTTGATGAGAGATATGTACAATGGAGCGCTAACTAGTGTCTAATAACTAGTGGAGAGACGAGTGAATTTTCAGTGACAATAGTCTACATCAAGGGTCAGCTCAATAGCCCATACCTCTTTGTCTTAGTTATGGACGACTTAACTAGGCACCTACAAGATGAGGTATCGTGGTGCATGTTGTTTGCAAATGACACGTTTTAATGGTTGAGACTCGGAACAGCGTTAACACAAAGATAGAACTTTGGAGGGATGCTATAGAATCTAAAGGTTTTAAAATTAGCTAGACTAAGACAGAGTATATGAAATGCAAGTTTAATAATAATAGGAGTAGAGACAATGAAGTAGTTAAGATTGACAGTTAGGAAATACCAAAAAGAGCGCATTGTCGATATCTTGGGTCGATAATCTAGGAAAATGGAGAGATTGGGGAAGATATCGCACATAGGATTAGAGCTTGGTGGGCGAAGTGGAGATGTGCATCCAGAAGTTTATGTGATCGCCACATAGCAATGAAGCTCAAAGGCAAGCTCTATAGGACAGCTGTGAGACCAACTTTGCTCTGAGGCGGAACGTTGTGGACATAGAGCTATTAGATTCAATTATATAGCTTTGGGATTTGGAAATGCTATTATCTTTGACTTTTTGCGATTGGTAAATGTGTGAAATGTGCTTCAACTTCTACCTAGTTTATTGGCTTATTATGTAATATGCAACTACCTGCAATATATGTATGTGTGTGTGTACACACACACACATAGAACATATACATGCATATATGTATGTTTCGGGTGCCTCAAAACCGTCATACCCACATAGGCCCAGAAAAAAAAGAAGGAAAAAGTAAGCACCCCCCTACCATCGAGGGGCCCCCTCTGATGCCTCGTACTTTCTAAAACCATCAATATAGATATAATTCATATAAAATACATACTTTATTGGCTTATTATTAGTTTATTGGCTTATTATGTTATATGCAATTATCTGCAATATATGTTTGTGTATGTACACACATACACAGAACATAAACATGCATATATGTATGTTTCGGATGCCTCAAAACCGTTATACCCACACAGCCACAGAGGCCCTTAAAAAAAAAAGGAAAAAGTAAACCCAACCCCCTTCACCCACGTGGCCCCTGCCCCCCACCCCACCCAGGGGCCCTCCTTTGATGCCTAGTCCTTTCTAAAACCTTGATACAATGAATCTTTGTCATGTAAGGAGTATTCCTCTTGTTATAAGATCTCGTGAAACAATGTAATTTTACTATAATAAGAAATCAAAACATTGCACCTGTCTGCAATTGTTTTTATACTTCCCATACTTCAAAACTTTCTCCTTCACGTTACAATATCAATCTTTCCAAGTTTGTGTTTCGAAGCAAGGGATACGTCTCTCAGTTCCTTTGAAAAAAATGGTAGCAACTTGATCCTTGTCAGGGAGGTGGGTTGTTTGATGACTCCTTCAAGTCTCTTTCAGATATAGTAACAGTCTTCCTGTGCTTAATATGCTCATGAATTGTTTGATTCTCTGCCATTTATTATGTAATTTTTCTAAGGCATGGCAATATTATAGAATATCCGTAGGTTGTGAATTTTGCAATCTATGGCTGACATTTTTGTATCAATGATTCTCCTGTTTCATGGGATAATAAATGACAAGGATTATATAAAAGGTGGTGTAACTGTATAAGTGCAGTACAATTTCAGAATGGTAGGGATGTAACTGTATAATTCAGCATAAGGTCAGAATACAAGAAGGGTGGGAGGGAAGAAGGAAGCACTATTGGTTGCTACCCAATTAATCATGTTCTCAAACAGCTTGGGGCACTCCTTCCCTTAAATCACTTCTAAGTAAAGCAGATCTACTTAGAAAGTTATTGATCAGGGGCAAGCATAAAACAAGTTGTCATTTATTTCTATTGATAGTCCAGCTTGAGGGTGACAACAAGTCCAGGGTTTGTAACTTTAAAACTCTTTAATTTTCATGGACTTTTAGTTTGTAGTATTGTTTAACTTTAAAGTTTGGGGTTGCAGATTGTGCTTAGGGTTGTCTATTGTTGAATAGTTTATGAAGCTAGATTCAAGTTTCTAGTTTTTATCATGGGATAGTGGATACAGAATCTACGACAGCTAATAATTTTGTAGTTAATGAATAAACTAAATACGTACTATCACATATATCACCTCCATATTTTTTTCTATGCATTAACCTATTCTTTTAGATTTTTTAGAATTTTTTTATATTTATTGACGCATCCCCGCGATGCACCCTCATCCGAACTGCATCGCCGCATCAGGCCCCCACTGCTTTCAGTCGCATCCTGCATTTTAAAACACTGGTGAAGCCTGAATCCTAAGCAGAATTCGGCTCGATGGGATGCTTGTTACATTGAGCTCCTAAAGTCCGACTCAATGTAATAAAGAAACCCCTGACTTGGAAGATCCAAGATGCAATGGGGCCATAGCAAGAATACATGCAGGATACAACCAAGCGCAGTGAAGCTATTTGCAGGTTCTGTACGTTGCACTCTTGAAAGAAACCTTTTGAAGAACACAATCTTTCACTCTGATTTGCCCCTAGATAACTCCGGCTAGGGACCGACTTCAATTTGGTCAAAATTTCATTAAATTCCATTGGATAAGTAACAAGTTTTGAAGATTTTTTGGTTAGCCGAGGCTTATATTCATAGGACATCCGTCAACCAAGACAAACATAAAAACAGAGGGAAGAAACCTGAAAAATGAGTTCAGATGAGGTATCTATAGAAAACTAGATAATTGTAGTGAACATGCAATCGGCCTTTGAAACGGTAGGTGACATGTTGTGAAAATATGTCAATACACATCATGAGATATTAACTGAGCAAGTGTTTAGGTGGTGGAGATAAAAACAGCCATAGCTGCACTGAGAACTGATAACCAAGGTGAAATGTTGCATGACTCAGTACACCATGCCGAACATTCACAATTGCAACTGAAGGTCGCAAACCATTGTTATCCTGTGGTGAATACTCATAACTGTGTCCGGACACTGCTGAACATGGTGAACCATGACAAAAGGTCCAGACCTACTGTAAAAGTGTTCTAGGGCAACCAAACTGCCTTAACCACAGTCAAGGTTGATCAAAAGTTTGACTAGCAAAAATTTAAAACTTTAGCACAAACCAAAACCTCAGCCTCAGCCACAGCCACAGGCTCCACCCACCCAGTCGCCCATGCATGTGTGTGTGCATTTTATGCACGCGCACGAATTGAGAGTCCCAAATCTTCCTCTCTTCCAAGAGCCCTTAAGGCTAAGGAAATCTCCCAATTATAAATCTAGAGAGAAGCTTGTCTCTACGTAATGTGGGACTAAAATTTTCACTCAACTCCTACTTTGCCTGAAGTCTGAACATGGTCAAACAAGTTACTAAACATCATTTGTTGCTTTGAAACACCCTTTTCCATAAACAGCAATCCCCCACTTGAGGCAGGCAATTTTTAAAACATTGCATTGTACCACTTTGCATATAAAAAGATGATAATGAAATATTACAGAACGCTAAATGCTTTCTCGAAAGAATTGTACAATTCCTATCACATATCAATAACAAAGTAATCCATTAAAAGACACAACATATGTTCATTGAAAATCATCCAAAAACTTGACAATATGGCACAAAGTGTGAAATTTAAAGATTACCTTCGCAACACTTATGGTTTGTTGCTCCATTGCCTCATGTATAGTTGCTCTATCATGCTCCCGCATGCTACCAATTCAGAACAAAAATAATGACTAAATACTGAACCAATTTGACATCCAAGTACCACAATATCCAGTGAAATCCACTAGGGATTGATATTCAAGGTTCACGAATCCATGATCGAAGGATGTGAGTGTATATTTCAAAAGGCTTCCCAACATAACTTCCCTGAGGGGCTAGATTATACAAAAGTGGTGGACCAATCCATGCATTGGTTGATGAAAACTAAGGAATGAAGATACATTTAAGGAAAAACCATGCCATGCCATGAAAATAGTTACTTCAGTCAAGACAATCATTATATCTCGAAGCTGATAAATGTCACATCAACATTGTTGTATCAGGAAAGTTCATAGACTTACACAAAAGATAAAAATTCATACCATCTTGCATTGCATAAGGCATCATCTCCCATTGTTACTCACCAATGACTAAACAACTACCAAAAGAATATCAGACAGAAGCAAATGACTACACCCCTCTTTTCTTTTTTTTTCGGGGGGGGGTTGCTGGGGTAGTTCAATGGTAGAATATAAGCTAGAAAAAAGTTATGTACATATGGGTAGCCCTCAGTTTTTCAGTTTTTTTGTTTTTCTAATGCACAACTGACATGCATAACGTTGAAGAAGTATCAAGTTGTGTATTTAAACATCATCCCACAAACATAGGAAGTACAAAAACATTGATTAGTATCATGAGTATTCAATCTCTTAAACAGTTAAACCATCATATTTTCCTCAAAACATTTGCTGACATTGTCAAATATTAGCTAATATTCGAAAATGTTCAGAAACTTAGACCACCAAACCCCAACCACCCCAACTCCAACCCCACAACCACTACCACCAATAATGGCACTTTTTCAGACTTCTAGGGATGGATAGCACTAGAGAAAGCATCATCCAAGATTCTTGGGTTGAATGGACTTCATAGTGCACAAGATAGGAACCCATTTCACCCCCTTGGGTAGTCCATGGCAAAAATTAGCAAGCAAACAAAAGCAAAAGTTGATATACAATACACATAATAGGCGTAAATCTATAAAGGCAGAAATATATTAAGAAGGGCTCTTCACACATTTACCATTAGAACTCAACACCATCATCAAACAGTAAATGGAAGGTCAATGAGATTATCTTGTGTGAAGATTCATATAGCTATGAAAATGAAAGTAAGTACCTTGATGAAATTACACAAAGTTGTAATAACCAAATTTACCCCATATGGGAGTGTCATAGTACAACACAGCCAATAATACCCCTTAGGAGGACAGCGTATTAAGCCGCTATAGAGGCTCTCTTCAATGGTATATTGTCCATAATAAAAGCAATATAGATTAGCGAATACCCCTAATGTGAAAATTGAATTTCTATATTAGGAGGATCTGACTGATTGAAGGATAAGTCTCTAACCACAAAATAAAACAAACACAGAATTTACTCAGTAAAATGCAAGGTAAGATTGACTGAATGCAAATCCAGGACATATACATTAGAAGATATTTCTAATATTTATTTTTGAATATTAACTTTGATAGCAGTGATAAATTTCAAACATAACTCCAGAAACAATAGTGTTGAGAAGGATCGCTCTAGCATTTGAACATATAAGGAATAAGATAGTAAACATGAACAGGAAATCATCACAACCATGAAGTAATGCTTCCAATAGCAAAAATCCAAAACCAAAGGCAAACCTATCAAATTCATCAATGCAACAAAGTCCACCATCAGCCAAAACAAGGGCTCCAGCCTCTAGCATCCATTCCCCTGAAGATTCAATCAATGAATTAGCTCTAACATCAAAAATATTTGAAGTACACTATGACGTATGCAACATGAGTTCCCAGAATGTCTTAAACCAGAGTTTTTTGGAGAAAAAAAAAAACAAGCTATCATGTTGGTTACAAAGAAAATAAAGTGCTTTGATAAAATGGATGACACATGCAATTGAGTGGCCAGAAAACCTACTAAATGTTATATTCTTAAATCCATTTTTCCTTTGTTTATTATAGACATAATTAAAGATAATATGATCATCAAATCATATGCATAACTCAATCACACTGTTTGAGCAAAGAAAGATATAACAACTCTAGACTCCATGCAAACAGTATACTACAATAAGAGATCAATGGCCAACATTGTAACACGATCCAGGGCCACAATGTCCCAGAACTTGTGGAAAGTTCAATTCATTCCCTAGTGGATATTGCTTCTGTGGTGGACTTTATCCCACCAGATATCCTGGCTTTGGTCAACGAGTTCTACTGTAGAAGAAGAATCCATAAGGCATCAATTCAACTTTCCTTGTTGTGGTTTTGTTGAAGTTATGGCTTTTCAAGGCATTGAACCCAACATGTCTATAGCTTTTGACAGCTCTTGATCATAGTGAGAGTGAACGAGAGCGATGTGACTCTAGGATCCTGGCACATTGGGACCAAGAGTCACATAACCCCAAGTGTCATGAGGTCAGTGTGTGTGTGAGCGGCATTGAAAGGGTTGAGGGTTATCTTTAGTAAGGTTCGGATTAATTTATGTCGCATGACTGTGTGTTTCCAAGGCATTGTGTATGATATTGGTTGTGATTGATTGGTGGTGATATGAGCTCGAGTATTTTGTGTGATTTTAGCAATGCATAAGAAGGTTAAGGCTTTGAGAGGACATATGCCTAAATCATTGACCTCGAACCTTCTCATGACATGTGAAAATATAGTCGTAAATGGGAAGCCACTCTTCCATACTAATCTACTTGGAAGAGAAATGCACATGTTCCATGAGGGGACCCCCACATCCACAAGAGTGCATGTCCTTAGTGGTGCACATCTAATCCATTACAGCCTGAGAGTCCCAAGCCACATATTGGATTGACCTTGATGACCAAGCATGATGCCCTGCCTGACACTATGGGTTTTATTGGGTCATTCTGAGAAAATGACTTTAGATTTCGAGTCTAGCTGAATAGAGTACTCCGATACCCAATTCATCTCCATAGGATCCTAATTTCCCTTATTAATGATTATATATGATGCCAAATTGTGTAAATATGATGGAGAATGCTTTGAAGGCCTTTTGGAGATTTTGAAAAATTTTCTGGATTTTTCTGAGCTCATACTGTGCATTTTGAGAAATTGTTTTCGAGAAATGACACATAACGACAGCCACATGGATCCCACACATAACACCCAAATGGCCAATGGGTGCCACGTGGTATCAAGTGAAGTTATGCCAAACCCACATAAAGATAACGTGGGGTGACGTCAACCCCCATGGTGGACCCTATTGTCTTTTGCATATTTGTTATAAAATACTTGATGGAGTATTTTCAAGTGAATCTTTGAAAAATTGGAAAACAAATTTGAGCACATTTTTATTGTGTGGGATTGGTGGTTTAAAATTATAATTGGAACTCTAAGTCTATACAGAATTATGCATATAACCAGCTATCCTATGTGGCATCATGATTGGGTGCACATGCACACCAAGGTGAAATGGAATTGGAGGGAATTCTAAAATTCAAATTGCTTCTAAAAGGCTTGCCTAATTAGTTATGGGTAACTCTCTACCTATGCGTTCTCATGTTAGTTATGTTAGCATGGGCAATTATGGAGGAAGTTGAATTTGATATAAATTTGAGTTTGCGATAAATGGACGAAAATTTAAAATGAATTTAAGGTTTATTAGGAGGATAATGGAGTTGAATCTCATCCACTCAACAAGATGGCATGAAAAGAGATGAGCGGCTAGGATCAAGCCCTCTCAGACAATGGATAACATATATTAATGGTGAAGATTAACTCATCTAGAGGCATCTATGACACAAGCCTATAAAAGGGCACCTTACACATTCATTTGTATAAAGCATCCTCCCATAGGTAGCAGGACCCCAGTTTTTACTCTTCTCTCTCTAAGTGGTAGCCCCCTCCCATTTTAGTTCTCTCTCTCTACATCACATGAAGTTTTAAAGTGAGAAAAAAAAGAAAAGGGTGGCACATCCCCCTTTTGATTTCCCTTGTTCTCTTCCTTCATTTGTGAGAGCACTCTAGTGTGAGAAAGAAATGATAAATGTGAGAATTAAGTAAGAGAAAGTGAGATTCAAGCTCCATTAAAGATTCATCTCACGCTTGGAGGTGAAACCCTTGTCCTCTTGTTCTTCTGAGTAGCTCTCAGAGACTTCACATTCTCCAAATATACAAGAATTAGGAGGAGTCTGCTGCTCCCATAGAAGATATTCTTTAAAGATGGACAAAAACCCTAACTAGTAGAGAAAAATAAGAGAGAAAGAGGGGAGTACCTACCTATAGGAGAGAGAGAGAGAGGAATACCTACCTATAGGAGAGAGAGAGAGGGGGAGTAACTACCTATAGGAGAGAGAGAGAGAGAGAGGCCAATTCAATTTCACAAGTGTAGAGAATACATCCTTATAGAGAATATTTATTCAAAAGAGGCTAGGGTTTGGGGTTTAAAGTTTTGCCATCATTATGGGACTCAATCTTGACCTACGATTATGGAGACCTATGGGGCGAAAAGATCTCACCCATTCATTCTTTAGATCAGTCATCTTGATTAAAGGAATAAAGTGGAACCATTATCCCGCAGTTTCGATAACTTTATTCCCTTCAACCATAGTTCAAAACTTGGGTCACCCAAGCGCCTAGGCAGCTGCCTAGGCGAAATAATTTTCAAAACCCCTAGGCGCAGTCTGGGCAGGTACGTAAGGCATTTTGCTTATGGGTGCTCGCCTAGGCGACCTGGGCGGCGCCCATGATAATTTTTGGGCAGCGGAAAAAAACCCTCGAGTGCTACGAGTAAAATACGTAATTTTTTCCGGCTAAAAAGGGGGGCAGAGGATTTTAGGGGGTATTATAAACCTCCAATATACAATCCGTGGTCTTTAGGGTGAGAAAAACCCCTCAAAAACCACTAAATTGTGATTTATTGAAAGATCGATAAATTTTATGTTTTTCTAATTTCTTCCCAAAACGAAGACAATAGTTCGTGGGTGGATTTGGAGCTTCTAACAGTTGATTTTGTGAACTTTTGGCAACCCAATAGACGGAGTTTGCACCGACACCGATTTGATTTTGATATTATTTAAGTATTATCATATTTGAAAGAGGATTTTGATTTTATTTTTCTACAACACATTATGTTATGAATCATGTGTTTTTTTTTTTACAATTTTTTTCTTTTACGATATATTTACATGTTTGTAGGTTAAAAGATTGATTTTTTGGTGATTTATTGATTTTTTTTCTCACTTGGACGATGAAATTGAGCATATATCGCATTCTTTTATTGATTTTTTTCGTCCATTTCATGATCACGAGGAGTTTGGGGCTTTAAAATTGCCCTAAAAACTCCCTAAGGCTATAAACACCGCCTAGTCGCCCGAGTCCTTTTTTTTTTAACCTTGCCATCAACTATTTTTTAGAGAATGAAATGTGTGGCTATGTGGAACTTAAGGAATTAAATTCAAAAACTTTTCTTTTACTTTTATTCCAAATACCTGAATTTCACTTACATTGGCCATTATATATTGTTGTAAATTAAAATAATACCCTGGATACAACCTAGGATCTTTATTTTCACTACCAAGAGAAATAAAAACTATCTAAGAGCTTAAAACAACCTTCTACTATAATTTCTAGTACAAAAAAAAGTTATGTAACATACCTAGAGTTACCCTCACAAGTCTTGGTACACCCACACTCGATTCTCTGACTGATGGGCACTTTTACTCCTCTAGGTGTTGCTGGAACCTCTGAGATATTGATAGTTTTATAGGCAATACTTATTTTTTTAGGGGTTAGAGAACTCAAGAATAAAGTAGGGTTTTATAAACCCTATGGGAAGAAAATAGAGCTGAACTTGTGAGTTGATCTCACTTTAAATTGGTTGTCTCCCCTTCTTCTCTCTATAGCAAGCCTTTCTTTTTGGATTTTTAAGATCCTCTTTTTCTTTCTTTTAATAGAAGCTACTCATAATAAGGAGAGAGAGAGGCGTGACTCTCTCTAAGAGCAGAGAGAGGGTAGCGTTAAACCAAAATAAAAGAGGGGGTTGTGTGAGACAAAGAGAGATCTTTGGTCATGAGAGAAATCTTTTGTAATGAAAAAGGGGGATGAAATCTAGTTTAATTAGAAACAAAATCTATTTTCTAATTTGAATAGGATTCCAATCTATGTATGTCTTATCCAATTTCCAGCTAGACCTTCAGAATAATTAAGAAATCTGTGGAGTGAGAGAGATTTAATCAAAGCCATCCATCTCCATCCCACAAATTAGCCATCATGATTTTGGATGGAAAGATAGGAACCTATTCCTCTTATATTTTGACCCATATCCAACTCTTATTTAAATTTAAAATATAACCCATAGAAACAAATCTATTTCCTATTTTGCATAGGATTCCAATCTACGTATGCCTTATCCAATTTTCAGCAAGACCTTTAGGATAATTAGAAAATCTATAGGGTGACAGATTTAATCAGAGTAATTCATCCCATAAATTAGCCATCATGATTTTGAGTGGAAAGATAGAAACCTTATCCCTTTAGATTTTGACTCATATCCAACTCCTATTTAAATTTAAAATATAGCCAATCTTATTATTATGTAGATCTCACATAATCTACAGAAAATCAAGTATAATCTTATATTTCAGAATTCCCTCTAGAATAAGAAACCAAATCTTACTAAAGGAAATCCTATCTAATTCAAAATTTAAAAAATGGGGCGTGCCCCCCGCCCCCCCTTATGCCAAATTTGTG